TAATATATCATATATATATTATATATAATATATATGATATGCGCAAGCATTTGCGCAAAGGACCAGGGAAAACTGAACAAACCTGATTGAGATGGGATCATCTGACCTAGAAGATACAATTCTGTTACAGTTAGAATATACACACACACAATATTCTGACAATAATTAACATTTCAAAATGTTATTTTATGTCTACTAACTTATTAATAAATAATATTGAGACAGGATTTATAATAAGTATCGAGTTTTATATATTGGGAAGAGATGGCACGTTGATGTATAGTCGTTCTATATATATATAGTCTAGATAGTATATTGAGAAACTGTTTGAGTCTATCATTGAAAAGCCTTTCCAGAATTTTTGAAAATCCTGATAACAGGCAGATAGGTCTGTAGTTCATTGGATCATAACTATTGCCCTTTTTAAACAATGGTTTAATTTTTGCTTTTTTGAATATATCTGGGAATATGCCTGATTTTAGAGAGTAATTGCAGATGTGAGAGAGTGGTTCCACTATACATGGAGCACTGTGTTTATAAGAAAATCTGGAATGTGGTCCATGCCTGCTGAGAATTTATTCTCCATTTATCCAAAGATTTTAAAAATTGATAAATGATAAATGGACAGAACAATTGTTATGAATAATTATTATGATAAATGGACAGAACAAGGAAAAAGTAAGAGGTCTCAGTTCTGAAGAAAACACCATTTTAAGAAAAAAAAGCAATATCGGCATGAACATTTATTAAATGAGTACAGAGTCAATTTAACAAATATTCGCGAGGTAGTCATGAGCATAGCTGGATAACTATTATAACTGCCTGTAAAAATTGGACTTTGCAATTTATATGGCAAGTACTACAAGAGATACATTAATCTAATGAGCAGTCCCAGTTGTCTACACTGATGACATTTGTTGTTGACAAAGAACTTTGCCAAATCATAACCAGTCTTGAGGCAACTGTTCATTTAAGTATGTGTTGACAACCTACGCAACTTATAAGCAACTCATATCCTCAGTGATGGATCCAACTACTAAAATGTTGCATAGTATGGTTCACAATATTGTTGGACAAGTTGGAACTTCATTGAATCACAAAGAAGAACCACTCGCTACCATTGCAATCAGGATGATGGTAAGAGGAGTGTTGTTTGGTCCTTGCACTCTCAGGGCTCTGACTGCATTCTCTGGTGTTCATCCAGTCAATGTGGCTCTTTCAACCACTTATCCAATCTGCTGCACAGCAGGATCATGCTGTAAATAATGAATTTCTATTTATTATTATTATTCCACCAAAATTTCAGGATTTTTAAAACATTAGACAAAGCATGAAAGAGAATCCTTTAAATGATTTATGTAAAAGAGATTTATTTTACAAAACAATCTCCATGATCATGAGTTTTTTAAATGGCGTTGGAAAATTCTCTTATTTTTCATTATAAAACCGATTTACCCAGTCCCACTTAATATGAACAAAAGTCCCTTTATTAACTGTAAATTTCATACAATAAATGGAAAATGAGTGTCATGAATTTCAGGTACACTTCACAATTAAATATATTTCGATGATTGTTTATAAAATAAAAAGTAAATATTCAAAGAGTATTTTTCAAAACAATGTTTCTTTAGTATATAGTGAGTGGTCAATGTCTTCTAAGGCCTTCCAGAAAAAAGGGACACTGGAAACACTGTGAGACTGTTTCAACAAGCAAGGTATTTTAATTGTAATACGTACTTTCAAAACGATTTGAACATTTAGAATACCCATATTTTATTTGGCAAACAAACCAAATATGCAATTGACACATTGTTTTACATTACTTAAATTTTCCCCAGCAAGAATGTAAAAAATGTAAAAATTAAAAACACAGGCTCTCAAAATAAAAAAGTTGTCAGACCAAAAACTTCACATATGTTTCTCTACATATGTCAACAGGCTGAATGTAAAGCCAGAATTGCACCACTACTCTAGTTTTTCTTAATCACAAAAAACATATGTGAATACTAAGTTTTTGTGTCTTGTAGCATTATACTCTTCAGAAGTCAAAAGGTGCCAAGACTACACCAATTTCTGTATGTATATCAACACACTGAATCCAAATCTGAAGCCTAAATTGGGCCACTGCAGTCTATTTTTTTTTTATTATGAAAAAACATTGTGAAATTTTAATTTATAATTTCTTAGAGGTTGTCCACAATAAAAAAAAAAAAATTTGAACTTGAGAGCGGTGGCGCAATTCTTGCTTCAGAATCAGCACGTCGACATATATAGAGCAACTTATGTAATTATTCTTGACAAAACAAGTCTAATCATGTAAATTACTATGTCAATCTGAATTTGACACAAAATTTACCTTTCTGTGTTAATATGTACATTAAAATAAAATTAGATAAAAATTAAACATGTCCACATGAATGATTCTTAGTAATTCTTGTCATCTTGAAAATGATTCCAAAAACAAATGAAATACATTTAAGAAACCAACTTTATTGTGGTGGACAAAATTTATCCAACTGCAACTGACACATATTTTCACTGAAAGGAACAAAACAATTTGGAAATGATCCAATTCTGAATTAATTCTGTAAATTAATCCATATACTACAACTATTATGAGGAAGGTAATGACAGAAAAACTATTTAACCTCAACTTATATACCAACAAAAAAGGAAAAATCAAGAATTACATAATGATAATGTAGTTTTTTCGAATGAAGAAGGGGTGCGTTTACCTACAAGCAAAAAGAAGGAGTTGCTTGGGGACCCTGAGGGGCCCTGAGGGGATCCCTGAGGGGCCCTGTGTTTCTGAAAAATACATAATATAATTTTGTGTCTGTAAAATAATTGTTGCATGGTGTATTGTAAAATGTATTTAATGTAATAAATATAATATAAGTAAAATTGTATGTAAAAAAATATTAGTTTTCAGTTGTATTTTTTACAGGAAGTACTAGTATTAAGGTAAGTTTTTTATTTAATAATGCTGGAGTATTTTTAGGGGGGAGGAAGGCAACACAATTTTGTGCTTGGGGGCCCCCACAAGACTTTAATGCGGCCCTGAATAAGGTAATCAAAACAATGAGATATACTAATCATCATCCTAAAAATATTTTATATTATCATATTCATATATATTCAATATATGATTCAATATCAATTCAACATATTCATAACAACTCATATATTTTTTCATCATTATGAACTGTAGGTATTTAGGCTAAACAGCATGTTCCATTAGTTATGCAGTATTCCTGAAAGTTAGTCTTCCAGGTGTTCCTGCTGTTGCCACATCTTTTGTGGTCTTCCAATGGCTCTTTTCCCTGCTGGTTTATATTTCCACATTAGTTTTGGCCGTCTGTTATTGTGCTTTCTTTTACGGTGATCTTACCACTTTCTTTGGGAGTTTTCTATTTCCTCTACTGTCTTTAGTTTCTTTCTAATGACTTTGATTTTCAGCTTGCCCCTTCTTGTAACTCCAACAAGGTGTCTCAGAAATCTCATATGTGATGCATGTATTTTCATAATCCTCTTGGGTGTGGTTAAATACACATATGATATTTCCAAGATATGATTAATTTGTTGATTGTTCCACACATTTCTCCATTTATAACAATTTTGGTTCTCTTTTGTTCATTGTCTTGTAGAGCAATAACGTTTGTTTTTTGAACTGATATTTCATAGAATATTTCAGGGCATATTTTGTCAGTTCAAAAACTGCTCTTTGTAGATCATCTTCAGAATCTGTTATGATTTTTTGATCATGAGCATATAGGATTGTTTCTAACTTTTTGTCTTTCCTGATATCAAACTCTGTTTAATTCTATCCCTCCAGTTTCTCACTAGGTGGTTGGTATATAAGTTGAAGAGAGTAGGCAACACATCCCTGTCTTAGGTTGCTGCTGGTTATTATTGTTGCAGCTTTTCTCCCATTTCATGAAAAAAGAAAAGAAAAAAAGTTGCAGTTTATATGAAAACTCAAATATTCAAATAATGTTACACGAAAAAAAAGAACAATTGCAGTATAGGGAACTTGTTACAGTATCATGGACCTGGTACACTACAACTGTTGTTTTCCATGTAATATTATTTTAATGTTGGAGTTTTATAAATAAACTCCAGATCGCATTGAGTAATTGAGTTGGTTTGGAATTTTCTCCTCTTTCAGTATTTTCCAGAGTTTTTGTCTGTTGACTCTGTCGTGTGTCTTTTCATAATCTATGAACTTTATAAAAGTTGGTAAGTTTCTGTCTTCTCTTTTGTCTATTATCATCTGTACTGTGAAGATGCATCTTTAGTGCATATTTTGCGGAATCCACACTGTTCTTCTCCCATGAAATTCTCAGCTATTACATTGTGTATGTTTCTCAACATATTTGCATAAAGTTTTGATGCTGCTGAAAATAGTGTGAGGCCCCAAATGATGTTGATAATAGTGTGATAATTTTTTCAAAAGTAAATATAAATCAAATATTAATATGACAAATTTAAATTCTGAAAATGACTCAAAACAGCTTGTAGCAGGAACTTCTATTAGCACAGTATCAGAGAATTGTATAAGAATTTTTCAGTCTACATTCTATAAAAAACTATATTTGTTTTGAATGTGTAGGATGACCTTGTATTTACAGAAACTTTCCTTCACTCTGGCATATTAAACTCTAGTTAAAACTTATTGAATTTGAATATTTAGAGTTGATAGAAATAAAGACACTAGTAACTTTCATAAAGGTGATGGAGTTCATGTAGCTGGAAAAAGAAATGTCAAAGTATTAAATTAGAAACTCTAAATGATGTAGATCATTTCTTTGTACATATGAGTACAGGGAAAAATGTGTTTATTATTATTGATGATTGTTTCTCCTTGATACAGGTATAGATATAGCAAATTCATATTATTTAGTTTTAGAATAGTTTGATTTGTTGTTCGCACATGTAAATTTGTTTTAACATATGCAATTTACTTTGGTCTGATGACAAGTACTGGTATTCAAGTGTCCCTACATTGAGTGGTAAAACCTCTATGAGGGAGAGATTCTTTTGTAATGTTTAGGAGTTCCCTTTGTGTGTGTTGAAGTGAGTGGTGATGTGGGGGGGGGGGGGTATGCACCTCCTCCACCATAATTTGATATGTAAGATATATTGCAGGAGGCTCAAAAGCTTCCCCAAAATAATTTGGTGCTGGTGACACCCATGCTCATCTTTATCATTTGACTGTAATAAAAGAATAGAAAAGGGATTAATGTGATTAACTCTCACTTTATATTGTCAATTTTTTTTCAAATAAACGAGTGCTTAGGCCATTTTCTGGTTTACATGGATAATAATGTTGTTAGATGAATGCACAGATAACTTTTATTGTCATTTGTATTACTACTTTGATTTGATAAGTGACTGATAACTACAGTCAATGAATGATTTGATAACAACCCAAGGTATTTTCTTCTACCTAATAAAATATAACAATTTTCAATTTGGTATTTAAGTCTGCTTAATTGTCTTAAATTGAGGACACAGAAAGATTATAAACAGAGTTTCTTCCCCAAACTTCATTTAAAATTCTCATATTTAAGACAAGTATTTAAAAAATTAAGACACAGGTATGATGGTATAAAGATTTATAACTCCAAAATGAACTATCAAGAATAAATTCACAGGAAAGATGATGTGTTTAAAGAATTCAAAGCTAATGTTGATTACAGAATAAAACATAATAATTGCTGTTATTCATTTAAAGGCCAGTCAGCTCGACAATTTAAGCAACATGTGTGGGAACATGTGAACAATATCACACAACCTGAATTTCATCACAACTTGATAACCAAACACAGACTTGAAACAGGCCACAGGCATATTACATCAGGAATCTCGATACCATTCATGTTTGTCTTGAAATGTTGAATATTAAGAGTCATTTAACTTTGAATGCTATGATTGAGATGTCCGCCTCTACGAAAACCTATGATAATGTCCTTGAAAATTTTGAATAAAAAGCTTCACCAACATGATGTATTCTAATTACGGATTTTACACTGCTTCTCCCTTTCCATCCCTCTCCATATATAATCTTTCTCCTTGTTATCCTCCTAACATAACGTTCCTTATCACTTCTGCAATGAAAACAATTTAATCTAAATGAAGCAGGTGACAGACAGTGTTAGACAAAGCAAACTTAGTCCTTCAAAGTATGTTGGGTGTCTGTTCTCCTTTGCAACCTGCTGCTTACTATATTTTTGCTTATTTTTTTAGATAATTT